GTTCATTTGTAGCCCATTTCCTGAGTTCAAACCCACCCAACTTTAATAAAGCAATCAAATCATTTTGTAGAGACAAGGCCGTATCGAAGGTATCACATCCTGTGATCAAATCGTCAACGTAAATGTCCATCAGAATTACGTCTGCAGCTGTAGGAAATCTAGAAGCTTCATCAGCAGCCAATTGTCGTAAACTACGAATTGCAAGATAAGGTGATGAGCTGATGCCAAAGGTCACCCTTGAAAGACGGTAATCCTGAACGGGTTCATTTTGGGAAAAACGCCAAAGTAATCTTTGATAATCCCTATGACTGGGATGAACTAAAACTTGAAGAAACATTTGTTTTATATCTGCAGTAAGTACGAAAGCATGAAGTCGAAAATTTAGTAAAACTTGAAAAAGATTAGTCTGCAACTTTGGACCTGCAAATAGAGTGTCATTGAGCGAAAGATTTTGAGTGGATTTGCAGCTACCATCAAAGACAACTCTGAGTTTTGTGGTGTGACTTTCAGGGCGAATAACGCAGTGATGTGGTAAATAAAATGATTTAGCTGGGGAACTACCTTTAACCTTTTCCATGTATCCAAGTTGTATATATTCCCTCATGAATTCTGAGTAAGTTTTGTAAAGATCACAATTACTAATTAGTCGTCTTTCTAATGAATGAAATCTTCGTAGAGCTATAGCACGGGAGCCTAGGAATTCTGGTTCTTTAAGTATGAAAGGTAACGGCACTACATATCTACCTGATGAATCGCGATAATGTTGTTTGACAAAAATCTGCTCACAAGCTTCCTCGTCGGCTGAAAAATTCACTGAAGTAGATACGTTTTCTACTTCCCAAAATCTTTTCAAAGTGTCATCTAAATAAGTTTCGGAATCTATGGACGCGAAATAGGAACTCAAAGATGGTGCTGGCTGATAATTAGCTCTGCCTAATAATATCCACCCTAGTTTAGTTTCTAATCCAGTGGGCTCATCGGTGGCCCCTGTATATCTACCATTTTTCAAGATTTGAGCGAAAACGTCTGCGCCTAAGAGCATATCAATTGGTCGAGATATATTGAAATCGCGGTCAGCCAATGGTAAGTCTAAAATTTGTTTCCAATTTTCAACGTTTAAATTGAAACTAGGCATGTTTGCGCATATTTTCGGTAAAATGATTATATCGAGAGTTAATGAAAATGATTCATCAAATTGCGAACGAATTGTACACGTGGCACCTTTCGATATTTTGGATGATGAATTACCAATACCATTGAGTGGCACATTAGTACTGAAACTATCGATTCCTAGCTTCAAAAAACAGCTTTCTGTCATTATATTTGCTTGACTCCCATTATCAATTAAAACTCTTACAGGACAGTTATCCCCTCGATTATTTACAACGTCTATGATAGCTGTAGACAAGAGGACAGTTTGATTTTTTAAAAAGCTCGAATTGCATCCAATAGATCCTACATTTGCAGATGCGCCAACTACATTTTCTGTGGCAACATTAGCACTATTAGTGGAATTAGTGTTATTTCTAGCGTTATATTGGGGAACAGCAGATTCATTTCTATTAATATGTAGGCTCGTATGATGTTTTTTACCGCACGATCTGCAGGACGAGAATGAACGGCAATTTATGATAGAATGACGAGATGATAAGCAATTCAGGCAAAGTCGATTTCGTTTAACAAAATCGTATCTGTCGCTTTGAGTTTTTTGTAAGAAATTTGGACATCTATGTAAAGCATGATCTTGTTTACAAATAATGCAAGAAATATTACTACATTGTGCTTCAGTACTATTATCGCGAGTAACATTTGCCACCAAAAGGTTAGAGGCATTGCGGGTTATTTGATTTCTTTTTGGAATGATCTTCAAATTGCGTTTATCATCAATAGGTGCGCTAATGGCGGCAGAGTTCATTGCAGAACATTGTTTGTTCAGGAACTCCGTCAATTCTTTAAAACAAGGAACATCTTCATTAGGGTTACCTACTTTTCTCTGAAGTTCGTATCGAGTTACGGTTGCATTATCTATTTTTCTAACTAGAGTTTGGAATAAAATGAAATCCCATGCATCTATGTCAAATTGTAAGTTTCTCAAAGCCTGAATATTTTCATTGAATACATCTAATAGCTGTCTCAGGGCTTGTGGTGAATCGTTAGAAAGTTTGGGATAGTCGTGGATTTCATCCCAATAAGCTATAGCCAATAATCTTTTATTCTGATATCTTTTTACTAAAGTGTCATAAGCGACAGTATAATTCGCATCCGTAGTAGGTAAGGATTTTACCAAAGTCAATGGCTCCCCTTCCAACAAAGAAATCAAGTATTGAAACTTTTCAGAGTTAGAAAGTGACTGATTATTGTCAACTGTATTTTTGTATAGATCATAGAAGGTGGGCCATTCCTTTGGAGAACCTCTGAAAGTCGGTAATTTTATTTTTGGCAATTTTACACTATTTGAACCTGGTTCACTTGAGGCTGAACGCCCGGTATTATTCAAATCTTGTCGTGTATTGAAAATTTCATTAAAAATTGTTTTAATGTTATAAAGCTTATCGTCAAATGATTTTCTAATGAACTTTTCTGGTTCTAAATTTGGTTCTTCAGTAGTGGAATGCATTAGCATAATGATTTCCGTGTGATGTTTTTCAAATTGCCTTTGTATTTGCTCCAAGCCTTCAAAACGACATTTGAAATGAACAAAATAAGTACTATCCGTTTGTGCATGTACGGCAACTTCATGTAAGTCATCCAATCCGGCTCGAACAAATGTTGAATTGAGCGTGGACTGTAATATTTTTATTGTCGTTTGATTGGCAGAAAATAAAGTGACTTACCCAACTTTAGTTTCTTCGGTGTCGCTCCACAGGTAGGATCTTCTTGTTTTCACGAATTTTGTCACTTATCGCATTTTTAGAGGTTCTATTGAAGCACCTTTTCTCATTACCGGCAAAGGTGTTCGGTACCTATAGGTTTTTCTATAGTTTTGCGTTGTGTGTCGCGTAGCGTCTCATTAATTGAATCGCTCGCGCGATGCGCACATACACCTCACGTTTTAGTACACGTGTCAGCCGAAAAGAGGGCAGCAGCATCCAGAGCCACTATTAAATTCTGCCTTTCAATAAGCGCGAAATAATCAATTCAAAAGTGTCGCTACCCACTCAAGCGTTTACCTTATTTAATTCAATGTAAATTAATGCAAATATTAACTCATATCACTAATAATTATTAAAGAAAATAAATAGTTATACTAAACCATGTAATGAAACTAAACAATGAATTGTCATCATTTCAAATGGCACAGAAAGTGTGTGTTTTTGAAATGAACATATTTTAATCATTTTTTTTCTCGTTTTAATATGGATGAGAAAAATCTAAATTATATATAAACTTGCGGTTTTTTGTATGGACCTCATGTTACATTATGGAGAATAAATAAATGATCAAATGAATGAAAAATCGAAAATTGTTCTAAAAGAAATTGTTCTGAAATGAGAATAAAATATTGAAAAAAAAATGAATAAATGAATAAATGAATAAATGAATAAATGAATAAATGAATAAATGAATAAATGAATAAATGAATAAATGAATAAATGAATAAATGAATAAATGAATAAATGAATAAATGAATAAATGAATAAATGAATGAATGAATAAATGAATAAATGAATAAATGAATAAATGAATAAATGAATAAATGAATAAATGAATAAATGAATAAATGAATAAATGAATAAATGAATAAATGAATAAATGAATAAATGAATAAATGAATAAATGAATAAATGAATAAATGAATAAATGAATAAATGAATAAATGAATAAATGAATAAATGAATAAATGAATAAATGAATAAATGAATAAATGAATAAATGAATAAATGAATAAATGAATAAATGAATAAATGAATGAATGAATAAATGAATAGCTGTTTTTTCTCTTGAAATGCAAGAAAGATATGAATGAACAAAATTAATAAATGAATGAATGAATTAGTGAATGAATCAATGAATGAATAATAGTTTGATGAGTACATGTCAGCTGTTTGTACACCAAAATTCAAGCCAAAATCCACCTCAATTCATTTCATGATATACCCAATTCCATGGAATTCTGATCAATGAATCTAAGGTATTTTTGTTGTTTATAGACCAGAACTGCAGTTCACCTTGAGATTTCAAAGGAATCCTAAGGAGTTCCAAACAATTATAGTAAATTTCAGAAAATTTCAGTTGATTGTAGATCAGAATTCTACCACAGTCAAGACCAGACTTACCAAGAGTTACAAGAAAATTCAAATAATTCCAAGTAACTCCAGTCAATTTCAGTTGATTAAATACCAGGATTCCACAGCAGATTACTCAAGGAATTCCAAAGAAATACCAAAATTCTACTGAATGTCACTCAAAGACATCAAAAGAACCCCAAGGTGTTTCAAGGAATTGTAAGAATTTCCAGGGAATTCCAGTTGTTTGTGGATCAGAATTCTACCACAGTGCACTCGATGAATTCCCGAAGAATTTCAAGAAATTCTACTTGTTCCTACACTAGAATTCCATTGCAGTTAACCCAAGGGATTTTCCATGGAATTCCAAATAAATCTTAGGAATTCCAGTTTTTTGTATATCAGAATTCCACCACTAGTTTAAATACACAAGGATTTTCAAGGAATTTCTGGCATTCCAAATGATTCCAGTGAATTCTAGTTGTTTGTTCACAAGAATTCTACTACTGTGCTCCCATAGAATTCTAAGAAATGTTGAAGTTTTCCATTATGGTTCAACCCTTGGTTTGATTCAAAACAAAATTGCATTAAAAAGTGAAAAATATATTGTTCTTTCAGTGGTCATTGGTGATTATGAACTAGATATGAATTTTAAATCTTTAAAATGTATTAAAAGGTAATCATCAGATGCTCATTAAACATTTAATAATATTCCCAGGTTCATTTTGATTGACCCAGCACACAATGGATATATTTTAATTAAAAACGACTCACCATGTTGAATGCCCATGTCAGTAACTCTCAACACCCCACCTTTAATCATGGCTCCATAATTTGGTTTTATCTGAGACACATCAGGATTCAGCAAACCATAACTGTGTCCACTAGCTCCACTATCTTCAAATATGAAAAGGATGTGGATGTCTTTGATGAGGGCTTTGGTGACAGTAATATGCCATGATTGGGTAACTCTCCTGGATGTGGTAGTCAAAGCTTCCCAATGGTATTCAATGTAGGGAATAATTTCTTGGTCTTTGCTGAACATGGTCCTATTTGAACCCTCTTTGATGCTAGCTTGTTGGAGGTTAGCTATAGCAGTTACACACATCTGTTGTGTTTCTGAAATAAGCAAGTTCTGAAATGCAAGAAAAATTGCTGTGTAGGCATTGATAGTTACGTGCTTGGCTCTTTCTGAAACTTTCCAGCCCTGTGGGAGAGCAGTTCTTGCACAGAAATATGTAGTTGGACATGAATGGAACAAGTTTACCCAGCTGATAACCTATGCAGGACTCATGGAACCAACGGGAACAGTTGGCACAGAGCAGCTCAACAATGTTCAGATTTCTATCTTTACCACTGAAAATTACAAAAATTGATGAGAGAAAAAATAGGTATGTTTCCATTTACCAATAGCAGGTGTTAGGGAAATCCGTTTTTTTCTCGATTTTCCCATTATCAGACAAAATTTTGTCTTCTTTTCCATCATTTTGTAAATTTTCACTGCTTGAAAGATTAGAATCTTCTGTAGACATTTCCAAAGAGTTATTGGATTTACTGAAAAATCATAAGTAATGAAAAAGAATAAATATATATCTCTAGGATTTTATCCACCTGAAATCACTTTCTTCAGCCATACTGAAAAATGCACTTTCAGATATAATGTATAGTATATAAACTAGTATCAAGTGCCCTATTTATTGAGGAATGTTTCCAGAAGTGAATGTAGATTTTCAAAGCAGTTTCTATTTTCAGTATTTTTTTACTAGGTATTTGGAACCCGACTGGACTATTCGATATAGTATCCAATTTTCACATTCTTCATTCTTCCATTACTTATTTACTTTTTGTATGGCCAATTGGCATTCGCTTATTTACAAACATAAAACACTACAACACCGACAGGCGACAGTTGACGAGTTGACGTTTGACAATTTCATCGGAATTCAACTGTCCTTTTTGACAAGGACAAGAATGACGTTTGTGACCCACTTGTGACCTCAAAGACATGGCAAGAATTCTAATAGCCATGAGTTGCTGCAAATATGCCATGGGTGCGTTTTTCATTCCAACATTTTATCATGCGCATGAATCGAAGAAACCATCAAACTGTTGCAAAATTCCGCTGGAATGTTGATGGACATCCATCAAACTGTTGTAATAAAATGCGCACTTTTAAATCGCTTTTCGAGAATCCAGCAGTTTGGAGGAGATTGTGAGATTGACATGACAGTTGACACATTTTAGTGTTGTTTTGATTTTGATTTGATAGAGAACAATTAATATTGAGGATTTTTGAGATTCTTGAGAGATTTTAGAAGAAAGAGTCAGTGTTAATCAATAAAATCGAATTAGCCTCTTCTGATTCTCAAGATACATGATGACTGACACACAACAAAATCCGTGTTTCCATCAATGTGTTGTATAAACCATTGTTCAATCCTTCCAGCATAAATTCCAACAGAACAATTGGTGACGTCACGACAAAAAACCGCATCTATCAGTGCGCACTTTCTTCGATGGAATGAAAAACACGCCCCATTTTCAGATCAATCAGAAATCAAAACCGCTAGCAACCGCGTATTGATGCCTCATTTTGAGAATGAAATCTCGAAATTTTAGGAATAAAATTCTGAAATTTTGTGAATCGGAGATTATTTTTAAAAATATCGAAGTTTTGAGAAAATATTCTCGGAATTTTGAGAATTTATACTCGAAATTTTGAGAATTTAATATCAAAATTTCATATGTCGCAATTTTTAGAAAAAATATCGAAATTATCTGAGAACGAAAAGTTCCTTACTTTTCCTAGGCTAAATCTGTTACAAATTTGACATCAAGGGTTCATAATATTGATTGCCAGATGCACAGCTTTCTCTGTGAAACCAAAAGGTGAAACTCTCAAACCTGTCTGGATGCATTTCAAGTACATTATTTGTATCCACTCCAGGTAATTTACCTGTTGATTTCGGAACAAAGATACCAACATATAATTAACGTCCTTTTGCTGATTCTAATGTTGTCATATTCAGATTTCTTGATTGTCTAAAACTCAATGAAAAATATTTTTTCATCAGCATATGCCCTCAAAATCTCGACTTTTCTCTCAAAATCTCGAGATTTAATGACGCAGGATATAGAGATTATTCTCATTGGTCTAAAAATGCACTGTTCGAGTTCTTGCTATAAAATGACGTTTCAAAAGGCTTGCTGAACTTGATTTTTTTCTATGACTTTCTTTGTTTACATCATGCCATAAACAGAGACAACTATGGGAGAATAATAATCTTTAGCAAGTTAAGGAAATGATCATTTTGAAACACGTGATTTTGACATGGTTTCTTGAGGGGCACACAAACTATCTGTTAGGTTACCTTTGATGAGCATAGTCCTGGCCATCCCAGCCACATCCACAATATAATAACAGTTTCACCGAACAAAGTTATGGAATTCTTTCTGGTTTCGGATTCCAAGGAAAACGATCTCACTAATTCTGGTTTTATATGACAAATCTTGACAAAATACAATGTTTGCCCCTCAGCAACCTGTCGAATGACGTAATTCTGGAATGATTAATACAAACGAAGAGGCCTATATCCATTCTTCAATTCTGTGTTCTGTGATTTTTTTTGTACAAATGTCATGTCATTGATGTGCACGACTGCACGTCACTCATGTCAGTCATTTAACATTTTGTCATATACGTTTAGGGTTTAGGTGTCAATCAAATACTGTATTTTTGCGTAAATTTGTGATTAAAACATAATTTAATAGTACGATAGTGATTGTTTTCTAGATATTAAAAAACTAAGTAAGTTATATCATCTATATTTAGTACAAAAATATTTATACTTACAGCTCATAGTTTCTCTTTGTCGTATTTTCCCTTCCAACATGGTAAATTGGTCACTATTGAAGTTTTTAAGGGTCGAAAATTTGACCCCCTTCAATTATTGTATGAAACTGTACCATTATCAACGATTCATTCATTCAACGTATATACTTTACGTCATCCATGTCACAATGTCACAAATTATGAATATTTGTTTTAACTAAAAAAACCTCTTCTTATTCCTATATATGTACCTACTTGGCAAAACTAGATCATCTATTTAATACTTATTCTTATAATTAATTACATATCATTCTTTGTATAGTTTGAACAGTCAACATACGAATTGTTATTGGTTTAATTATTATTGTCCTTGTCAAAATGTCCAAAGAAATATTGAAATGAAAATCCACTGCAATATTAGTAATGTTACTTTTACCATAATACATAGGTATTTCAATTATCCATCAAGTTGAAAGCTCCTAGATATTGTTTATTTGTTTATTGAGCAAGTCTCAGTCTCAGTTGATATTCTCATTAGTCATTATATCTGGCATAAAGTTATATGTAATAGTGGAATTATAGTTCTTAATTATGCAACATGTTATCTATTTAATATTGATAGTTTCATATATTGCTAGTATTTGATGTAATCATCTGTTATTTGCATCATCATAATAATTATTTGTTTAATTAACTAGGCAGAAAAGGACAAGGCTGTAGGAAACCAACCAAGGCATTCAATATTCTTTTCTGCCATGTGAACTACTTGGAATATTGCATAGCAAAAACTCTATCTGCCTAGGCAGAGACAGTACACTTTTTCTGCCAGTTAAGTGTAATGGAAAAGCCTCTTTCAATGTCATTTGGAGAAACATACTTTTTTTCAACAATGATAATAATCACCTCTCAAAAATGCTAGGTCATGATGACTTGATATACTGATAAGCTTCAAAAGTGTCACATTTCTGAACAACTATTAAAAATATCCCACATTGATGATGAGTGGAATTATACTTGAAATTGGGTTGTTCACATTAGTCAAATTCATGCCACATATTTTCTATTTTATATTGATCATTCCAGGTATTGACAGTATTTGATGCAATCAAATGTCATTCAAAATCATCACAAATACTTTGTTCAATAATCATGATGATCACCTCTCTGCATTCAAAAAAGTTTGAGCAATATTTAATGTAGTCCCACCCTGTATTATGCACTCCTGAATGAAACTTTGGAATGATATTATGTTCACCACATTGGGCATGGAAATTGCATAACTTTATCACGTGGCGTTTCGGAAATATTCAAGAAATATCATCTTCAGGAGCCCCCTTTCAGGGGGTCGTAGCTTCCTTTGGAGGCATTTCTTCACTCATGTTCATTGGAATTTTTCTTCCTATTTTTGGTCATAGAAACCGCTGGTGAAGTTTGGCAGGCTAATTTCGAGACACCCTGTATACGGATAAGCATCAATAGTGTCACGTTTCTCAACAACCTATGAAAATCATTCCTAATTTGTGAGGTATAAGTAGCATTCCAGGGAGAGGACACGTCCCGAAATTATGTACAGGGTGATTCACCATAAATGTCCCCCCCTCTAGCTCAGTTATTACTGAACCGGTTTTAAAATTTTAAATATCATCTTGAATGATTTTCGATAAAGTTTTTTTCCGCTAGATCAGAAAATACAGGGTGCTCGGAATAAACGATCTACAGGGTACTATTTGATTTTTTTAAATGAAACACCCTATTTTTCATTGTATTTTTAGATTCTCCCTGGAAAGCTGATTTGATCAATGCATCACACTTGGGGTCTAGCGGGACTGATTACAGAGATATAGGGTGTTCAAAATCGAGATTTTTACCTTTAGGATTTTTTTGTGACGAAACTATTCATTATCGGTCACGCGGTTTTCATGTCCGTATCTCAACTTTTGATTTACTATCTACTGACATTTAATAATTTGAACAGATACAGGGTGACCAGAATACTGAATCTTGAACCACCCTGTAAATGTTCCAATAGAGCAGTTCAGCTACCGTTGAGAGAGAAAAAAAATGTCTTCCCATCTGTCCTTGTCTTCAGTGTTCCAACATAAAATAATGAAAATATTATGTTGGCATCATTGGAAATGGGAAAAAATGGAGAAGAATATCATATTAACCTCGATGTAAAACAAGGTTAGAACGGTCTTCTTCTCCATTTCTTCTCATTTCCATTGTTGGCAACATAAGATTTTCATTATTTCATGTTGGAACACTGAAGACAAGGACAGATGGGAAGACATTTTTTTTCTCTCTCAACGGTAGCTGAACTGCTCTATTAGATTGCACTGGATAGTAAATCTAAAGTTGAGATGGGAACATAGAAGCCGTTCTGACCAATAATGAATAGTTTCGGCACAAAAAAATCCTAAAGTTGGAAAATCTCGATTTTAAACACCCTATATCTCTGTAATCATTTCCGCTAAACCCCAAGTGTGATACATTAATGAAATCAGCTCTTCAGGAAGAATCTAAAAATACAATAAAATACAGGGTGTTCCATTTTAAAAAATCAATTAGTACTCTGTAGATCGTTTGTTCCGAGCACCCTGTATTTTCTGATGCAACGGGGAAAAAATTTCTGAAAAATCATTTTAGATTATCTTTCAAATTCTTGAAACGGTTCAAAAATAAGTGAGCTAGAGGGGGAGACATTTATGGTGAATCACCCTGTACACCTATTTCCAGTTTCAGTATTAAAAATGCTAGTGTATTGCCGTAATGCCAACTAATAAATGCCGATATATTTCTGATTAATGCCTTAGGACTAGAATACCTCATAGTTTTTTATGCCCATTAACAATAATTATTCTAAACATATACAGGGTGTCCAGAAATTATGCTCAAAAAATCAAGGGGATGATTCTACATGATAAAATAAGAAATTCGTTTTATATGTAGGTGAGTCCGGAAATGCATATACAGTGTGTTGAACTTTTTGAAAAAAATATCTCAATTTTTCTTCCAACGATTTTCGTGAAATTTGGCATTGTTATTTTTTGTCATGACGGGCTGATGTAATCATACTTCAATACCGAATATTATTGTCAATAAAAATGTGCGCCACTGATTTCATTGAATTCTGTATCTTCACAACCTACTGAACAAATAAAAATACAACATTTTTGTTTCTAGAATTGTTATAATATTTTGCTTCATTTGCATGGAAAACATAAACACCAATCTATTGCATTTTGTTCCAAAAAATTCCTTAAAAAACTGGAGTGAAAATGAATGCGTGATCCATGTCCATAGACATAAAAATGAAGATTCATTTTCTTCAAATATTTCATGATACATGTTCGACACATTCTACACTCTGTATATTGAGAAATATGAATTCTCAGTCGAGGAAGGCGTAGTTTTCAATAATACAAAGTGTGTCAAACGTGTATTATAAAATATTGAGGAAAATTAATCTTCATTCTTATTTTATGTCTATCGACTTGGATCACACATTAATTTTCACCCCTGTTTTTGATGGAATGTTTTGCACAAATTTTTAACAATAAATTGTTATTTATTTTTTTCCACGGGAACGAAGCTTAATATCAAAACAATTCAAGAGACCAAAATGTTGTATTTTCGATTGGTCAATAGGATATGGAGATATAAAATTCCAAAAATTCAGTGGCGCACATTTTATTGACAATAATATTCGGTAGGGTTCCCCCGGGGCGCCACTGAATTTCACAATTCCCATTCAATCATGACTATATCAGCCCCTCATGAACAAAAATATCATTGGCAAGTTTCAAGAGAATCGGTGGAAGGATATTTGAGATATTAATGAAAAACCGATTTTTTTTAAAAATACAACACACTGTATATTGAAAACTATGCATTTCTGGACCCACGTATACAGGGTGACATAGAAAAAAGTACATTGTATAGTGCCACACAATAAAGGACACTGAAATAAGGAAAAAAGTTCCTATGAACATGGTTCCGCAAGGCCTTCGGTTAAAAGATACGGGGTGTTGAATTTTAAAAATGTATTGAAGTACAAGGGCAACAATTTGAACATCTTCTAAAAACTTAATGTTCTGTTCTAATTAATCATATTTTTCATCATACCATTAAAATGTAATTGTTGAAGTATTTATCATTGTTTTTGCAAAAGTTACTTTGGCGCTTTTTGAATAATTTGCGTGCATTGTCGGCTTTTAGATGCATTTGTACTGGAACCATTGCTTCTAGCGACTAGGGATAACAAATTTTTTCCGTCGAAAATGACATACAGTGTGTAGAAAAAAAGTTACGACCGATTCAATTGGGATGGAACCCTGTATGTAGCGCCCTCTATCAGTCATCACAAAACTAAGATCATATTTGAATTTAGCATGATAAAAAACCCCTGTATACCACATTTTATCCATTTCTTGCGTCTCTGGCTAAAGATATTCAAAGAAAACACACAACAAAAATTAAATTCAACACCCCGTATCTTTTAACCGAAGGCCTAGCGGACCCATGTTCTCGCCCATGTTTATATATAGGAACCTTTTTTCTTAATAATAATAATGATAATAAATGTTCTTTATTGGTTAAAACCAAATGGCCATCGACCGAGGTCCTTCAGCCACTTTTTTTCTTATTTTAGTATCCTCCATTGTGTGGCACTTTGCAATCTACTTTTTTCTATGTCACCCTGTATATGAAATAAATATACTGTTTTCTCATGCAGAATCACCCCCTCGATTTGTTGCCCATAATTTCCCTTATTGATATGTTTATAAGCATAACCAGATGTTACTTGGCAATGTGCCTATTGTTTTGATTATATATATCTACAACTGCCTCTTTGTTCTTTATTTTGAATGATGACTGGTACATTTTTTCGAGAATTAGAATTTGTTGAGAAAGGACTGTAGGCACCTGTGATAATTGGCTGAATCTACTTATCAATTTCTAATTCACCAAACACCTTCAATTTTAAGTCCAGTCGTGCATGAATTCACCCCAAGGTAGATAAATATCCTTGTAAATATCATTTAAAAAAATGTATTTCTTTTTCAAGGAATATGTTCATATGGGATTGGTTCACTGGTGTCCTAGGATATTTGGGTAAGTTTTCATGTTGTCCGATTGAGGTTTTTTGTCAGTCAAATTGTCAATTTTTTTGCATATACAGTGTCATTCATAAAGTCGGCATCATTTGGGAAAAACTTGTATTAATGACTTATTTTGAAATTTGAGTTGGACGTTAAGTTTTGCTTCAAAAAAGATGAAAAATGGCTTTCGCTACATATCAAAAGTGACATTTTTTCAAATTAATCGCTGAAAGTAGGCTTATTTGTTCGAATATCGAAAAAGTTTACTTGAAAAAGTTGTTTCTGTTTGAATTTTACATACAGTGACTCGGATTTGATCTTTCTATTACATTTTTTAGATTTCGATATTTTTTTAAAATTCTCGAAATTTCTGTAATATTAAAAAAAATGTTAATTCGATAAAACTACTTCATACCAGTAGTTTCATCATGCTACTAACTTTCAATTACTAATTATCACTAATTATCGACAAAAATATGATTTTCTTCAGAAAATGATAATCTCCCTTCAAAATTCTGTTATGTTTGATGCAAACATAACATCAAAATTCTGTTATGTTTGAATCGAGCATTTGGAAACGAAATTCATTTGAATTTATTTTTCCAGTACTGAAAAGACCAGTTTAAATGAATTTTGTTTCTAAATGCTTGACGATATATCAACTTTGCATCAAACATAACAGAATTTGAAAGCGGGTATTATCATTTTCTGAAGAAAATCATATTTCTGTCCATAATCAGTGATAATAAGTAATTGAAAGTAAGTAGCATGAAAAAGCTACTGGTATGAAGTAGTTTCGTGGAATTAACAATTCTCCAAATATTACAGAAATTTCGAAAAATTAAAAAAAAATCAAAATCTAAAAGTTGCAATAGAAAGATCAAATTCGAGAAGCAATTGTAAAATTGAAATAGAAACAACTTTTTCAAGTAAACTTTTTCGATATTCGAACAAATAAGCCTACTTTCAGCGGTTAATTTGAAAAAATGTCACTTTTAACATGTAACGAAAGTCACGTGACCCTGATTGAGTAGGCCATTTTTCATCTTTTTTGAAGCAAAACTTAACGTCCAACTCGAATTCCAAAATAAGTCATTAATACAAGTTTTTCCCATATGATGCCGACTTTATGAATGACACTGTATACCTAATTTGGATTGACATACGTTTTTTTTGTGGGAAACTTTTTTGTGTACAATTTTGGTTTAACCGTAAGTGCTACGTGCTTTGCGATATTTCACATCACTTTTAACGAACGGGTTGCCCTGTATAAAAGGGTGGAGCAATAGTGCGTCAGGGACCTATTGGTCGGGTCCTATTATAGAAAAATGATTCAGAAACGAATGTAAACTATACTTTTTCAAGTTCATGTTGAGAGTTGTCAATTTCAAATTAGAATTAAACGCATCCAAATTAGTTAACAAATTCAAAATTAGAATAAACATAATCAAATAAGCGAGTGGACTGATGATAAATTATTGGCATTCAATTACTCCACTGTGTCCTCAGGAACATAAATTAATTTTTGCAACAATTCTCACGTTTTTTTATGGAAATAATGAGTGTATGCGTTGTTCGAACACCCTGTACATAATTTAATGAAAATAAATAATTGCTATAGATATGTAGCTGATGATTAGGAATTCATTCCTGATGCTCTTAAATTGTTCCTTGAATCTGTGATTGAAATCTTTCTATGTAATTTCGGGACACCCTGTATATATACTGTGCGACAGTCGATATGCACAAAAAGCAGTCATGCATGTTAAAACAGTCTCATATTCATGAACACAAAAAAAGAAAATGTCATCAGATCAGACTAAATTGATATCGTCTTCAATTATCCCTAGATAATTCCCTTCATAATATCTTGCCACAGTATCTCAAGATGTCAGCGTGAATTCTTCAAAGAAACAATTCAAAAGGTACCTATTGAGATATTGCATCTACTCTGTCGATGACTTCAGAGGGAGCATTTTCACATACACAAACAACTCACATTTCCTTAGCTGTCCAAAAATTGGTTTGTTGTTTTTATATTGATTCTATTCTTAGTTTTCGAATATCAAAATTTTGAATTTTGAATTTTTAATTGAGATTTGTAAATTTGTAATTGAAATTTGTAAATTTGTAATTGTAACTTTTTAAATTTGTATTTTCGTGATTTCCATGTTATTTAAATGTTTTTTTCAAATATGTACCATCTTGTATCTGAGTATCTGACCTCCTACAAACAGATTTTTTTTATGTAACGTGGGTGATTGAATTTTTATTTTTATTTGTGACGAGTTATAAGAAATTTGAACCGAACTGGATAGAAATATACAGGGCGTCTCATTTGAAAAAAAATTAATTCGCCTTCATTTTCTGAAATTGAGCGATTACAGAATTAAAATTAGTACGCCACTGTTTTATCCATAGAAAGTTATATAATTCCTGTTAAGTTGAAAAGTAACCGAGATACGGGACTTGATCAAAAATGAGAATTTTCAACTTCACCCAGTATCTCAACAACATAAAGGACTGTAAAAATTCTGTTTGCGGCTTTATTTGTTTCACAAAAAAGTAAGGATCTAATATGGAAACCGCACAAAAGCATCAACAACTGGACACACTGTAGTGTACCTGCATTGATTGGAACTTACGAAGTTTGTCGATTTATTGTGGCTCACTCTGTAGAAATATCTCAACCCTTGTTTTTGTTTCACCAGGATTATGGAAGAAATCTGGCAAGCTACTTTTCTTAGGTCTAGATAATGCTGGAAAAACTACTTTACTGCATATGCTTAAAGATGACAGACTGGCACAGCATCTTCCCACATTACACCCCAGTAAGTACTCTCTGTCGGAAACATATTTTTGTTTCAAAATCTAATGGTTTTGATTTTTCATGATTATAAAAAAAAACACCGATTTGCATACTCAAACCCAAAATATTCGTCCAATAAATAAAGGGAAAAAGTTTACATTAATTACGCACTATTTTCATCTTCCGGTTGGAAGTAGCTTGTGGTACCTCATTAAACATGAGACAAAGTTTGACTGGAAAACGCGTGCGATGGCGGAGAAAATGGCCCCAAAAGACCAGAAAAATAGGTTTTCAGCCAATATTTCCTAAAATATGGCAGTTAGAGATTTTCGGTTCAGATATAAATTGAAGTTCAGTTAATTTTCTACAAAAATGGTCCTTATCATTTTTCTCGAAAATTTGCCCGGTTTCGAGAAAAACGGCACGAAGCGCACCTCGGATAATGAGCTTGGGTGTTGTATGCCGGAGAGCACAGTCCGTGTATTTACACATCGGCGGGGGGACAAATTAATCAATAACTTCGTTAAAAATGCATATTTTCTCATGATTCAAAGTTCATGTGGAAGAGGAATTCTGCTGCTATCATACCCTATGAATTGAGTTACGCTTGACTCTTTTGGCCATATCGGAACATGGGTCAAACTTTCTGCTCCCGGTCAATTTTGACCTCACCAGGAATTTGTTCCTATTTTTTTTGTATTGCACTAATTTACTCAAAATTTTCTTGATTGTGGGTCCTCATAAGGTCCTTTGTCATCCCTGAAATTTGTATACCCTAATTCTTTTTAATTTTCATTTAATCTTTGTTTATTGAGTCCCAATTTTTTGCTGTTTTTGGAGCGCGGGGAAATTTTGTGAACAACCATCAATTAAAAATTTATACATGATCCGATTGGTTTCTATGATAGATCATTTGAAAGCTAAAAAGGTCTACTTTTCGATTGTGCAATTACTTTTTTAGACGAAGTCGTCCATTTTTCAATAAAATTAGAAAAAGCGGGGTCAAGGAAAAAACGCACATTTTTTTCGGTGGTTTTTTTTCTCCGTGCTCTTTATTTCTAACATTTTAACACCTTAACTAGTGTAACGGGGGAATTCCCACCTTTCCATCGATGTATATTATAACTCATACCTTTGATATCCCGGGAAAAAACCAGTATATCTAAATGTACACGCTATAATTTATTACTTTCGTTCCTCCGTCGTTCGCCGCGTGTGTGCTCTACGTGGCGCTCGGGTCGTCTGCTACCATGCGGCCACGCTTGGAGGCATAACTGTGTTTGTTTTCTATCATTGTTTTGATAAATGTTATTGTCAATTATAGAAAGAAAAGTGATAAAAGTGAAGAATATTGAACAAATATTCACGTTTTTCGTTAAAATTAACTTTTATCACCAACCCAAAACATATAGAAAGTGAAGATTCAAATTTTGTAAAATTGGAACAAAAGGTGAGAATTTGTTCATGTTGTTTTTATTCAAGAACATTTGTTTACAAGCAAAGCAACTATTTTGAGTGGAATCTTGGTCTGCATTTCTTGTTATAGAAAAATGGGGGTCAACTCTGCTACAGCAGTGTGTTTCCTTTGTAAGAAACCCATTTCTGCGGATGCTGTCACCGTAACTCGGGGCTTAGAAAATTTGATTGATGTGAGCAAGGAAAGGAAGGATAAACATATTTTTTTAGAAAAACAAACGTCTGTGCAAATGCACAAACAGTGCAGGAGACGCTTCATTCTCAAATGTAGAAATGGTGGCTTCCAGTGCAACAATTTTGACTCTGCTAGATTTAGGCCAACTGGTGAGGTCCATCCTGCTGTGATTAATCTTATAGCCTGTTTTCCTAATAAGTATATCTTGAGGCCTCATCTGAGAGGAAAACAAGACCCTCGGCAGAAACATAAATATCCATCAAAAATGTCTGGTTACAGGGTTTCTCATTTATGGCACCGAGGATTTTCCCAATCTGTAAAATGTGGTGGCGCCATCTACAATTGGTTTCCACAATCCAAAACATTGAAAATAATTGATTTCCAACACCCCCCAGCTCAAATTTTGTACAAAACTTGCATATTTCACAAGTCAAAATTTCCAGTTTTTCAACCCGATTTTTTTGCAGAAAATATAGATGTTGCGAAAAAAATGATAAGGACTGAACTTCAATTTTTATCTGAACCGAAAATCTCCTACTGCCATATTTTAGGAGATATTGGCTGAAAACCTATTTTCCTGGTCTTTTGGGGCCATCGCACGCGTTTTCCAGTCAAACTTTGTCTCATGTTTAATGAGGTACCAAAAGCTACTTCCAACCGGAAGATGAAAATAGTGCGTAATTAACGTTAACTTTGACTTTTTTTCCTCCTTCATTTATTGGACTATATTCCAATATTGAATGAATTCTCTCGTTTTTCAGCATCAGAAGAGTTATCAATTGGCAATATGAGGTTCACAACATTCGATCTAGGAGGGCATTCACAAGGTAAACTAATAAAATATACTAATAATCGTAAAGTTGGTTGTCCCCGCCAAAAAGATAAGTTACTAAAAATTCTACCTTATTTTTTTGTGACACACCTAAGGGGTTGGAAATTATTTCCTTGTATTAGTATCAAGTATTTGACCTGTTTTTATCTCAAATCTTATGTAAAAAAAATTCCTATTGTATTCTGGAACACTTTTTTTCAATATTTTCGAACAGCACTCACTTTATCAAAACTCGTTTGGCTATGGAATGGCAAAGCTCCATTGCCTGGGGAAGTATTTCCAACAAGCTCAAAAAAATTCCTATACCTACCTCCTCTTCCTATCTTCCCTAGGTACGCACGAAGTTCATAGAACATTACAGAAATTCCCTTTCGTGCGCTACAAGCAATAAAATAATCAGTGCTACGAAAATAGCGTCTATATCAGTCGAACACCTAAATCCAACTGAATAGTCAATAGTATAGTAGCACAAGATAGTTGCATTAACGTGTCAGGACTTGTCTGGCACCAATTACATTGCTTTATGCACGACCGGGCGTAAAGTGGCACTTTACCGCCCGCGGACTACTTTACTGCCCGGCGGGCGATAAAGTCATTGAGCTGGTGGTAAAGCTAATGTCACTGTCATATCGATAGAAATCTAGATTCCAATGGTTTCAATTAATGCTCCACATATACCAAAAATCAGTGCTACCTACAACAAAGTTTCAAATTATCACACTTACACACATTAAGAAAGCATGAAAATAGTACTTACTTTCATCATAAGGTAGGAATCGTCTGGTGCTTCACTCAAGAATAACTCTATTTCTTCAGATTTTCTTTTCAAAAAAGCTATCAATCTTGCATATTTACTAATATCTCTATTATCATGTACATTTAAAGTAGCTTTCAACATGGAATAATATGACCACATGGAAGAGGGCTTACGAGATTTTGATTTTTCCAGAAAATAGGCAAGAAGCACACTTTCAGTGTAGTTCTTATTTTTTACATCATTTCTGTCGCACCAGCTTACGAATGTTGTGTATGTTAATAATACGCGAGTTAAAGATCAACTGAATTTATTACTAACTCAACTATGCCTCTGGCCCTGATACAGTGTTGCCAAATATATACTACACAACATCTCCCTTAATTATATAATTTGTTACAAATAAAATTGTAATATGATAATAATATGATAATAATACCTTATAGCTATACCCTATACCTTTTTAACTGAACACTATACTGTATAAACATAACTGATTAATTTTCATTACCCATTTTGTTTGAAAAAATCATATGTTAACCTGTCTGGTTTTCGAACAACTCTACCACTGCTGGTACAAGGACCTACACCCTGACCTACATCAATACCGTTACCCAAGTCATCATTTGTACTTTTGTCAACTGGTGAATTCTCTGTTGGTGGATCATTATCAGGTACAATTTCGATGAATTTTCTATTGCGTACAAGTTGTCCACCATTCTCTGATGCAAGTTTGTAAGTTCTAGGCCTAATCTGTTCAGTAATCCTACCAAATGACCAACTTGAACAAGGACTTTTTTGAAACCTGACTTTCTGATTATAATTCAAATTACTCAAATTCTTCTTTCCATTGTTGTAATAATGTTTCTGTTTTTGCTGTTTTTCGATGATTTTTGTATTGTATTTCTCATAGTTGATAAGTTTTGGCTGTAGTTGATCATTAGTGATTGGTAATAGATCACGCAACTTCCTAGACATAAGTAATTCAGACGGCGAGTATTTTAGACTGTCTATAGGGGTATTTCTATAGTTCAATAAAACCAAATCTAAATCTGTTTTATCCGTGTACGCTTTACCTATGAGTTTTTTGAAAGTCTGCTTTGCTCTCTCAACTTGGCCATTTGATTGAGGATTACGGGGGCTAGTTAAAATATGTTTAAAATTCCATTCTTTAGCAAAATTTTTGAAATGTACACAATCAAATTGGGGTCCACCATCACTTATTACAATCGATGGAATTCCTAATCTAGAAAACATTATTTTCAGATGTTTAATAACAGTTTGGGAATGTGCATTTTGGGTCAATGGAAGAAGCTCAACCCACTTTGAATAATAGTCTATCACTAGAAGGAACATTTCTCGACCCATATAAAGAATATCACACCCTATTTTTGCCCAGGGCCTCTCAGGTATTTCATGACACATTAGTGTCTCTCTACAATTATTGTTTTGGTTCTGCAAACAAATTTTACAATTTGATATGACATCTTCAATGTGGGTTGGCATACCAGGCCAAAAAAAAGATTCTGCAGCTCTATTTTTGCTCTTAACAATGCCCATGTGACTATAATGTATTTTGTTAATTATTTCTTTTCTTTTTGTTTGAGGTACAATCAGCTTATTACCTTTAAATAATAATTGATCATTTTCAACTATCTCATGTCTAAATTTAAAATAGTTTCGTAAATCGAAAGGAACTTTTTTAATACTTTTTGGCCATCCAGTTTTTACAAATTCACGAAGTTTTTTCAAAATTTCATCATTTTCTGTGTCTTCTTGGTATTCTTTAAGTTTTTCTTCTGTAAAATCGATAGACAGATCAACAACACAGACTTGAGAGTTCATGTCAAAATTGAATTCATCACTGGGATTTTTTTCAGATGCTCTGGATAAGGCATCTGCGATAAACAAATCTTTTCCTGGTTTATATCTCAAAATTATACTGAATTTTTGCAATTGAAGCAGCATCTTTTGTAACCGTGCAGGGCATGAAGCTAGTGGTTTTTTAAATATGTATATCAATGGTCTGTGATCTGTTTCAACAACAAACTCTTTGCCATAAACATATTGTGAGAATTTTTCACAGCCAAAAACAATAGCTGCTAGCTCTTTTTCAATTTGTGCCCAGTTTAGTTGGTTTTCTGATAAACTTTTAGATGCATATGCACAGGGAAGATTATTTTGCAATAAAACTGCCCCTAACCCATCTTTAGATGCATCAACTGATATTGTTGTGGGCTTATTTACATCAAAATATTGAAGAATTGGTTGTTGTGTTAGTTTGTCCTTGAGTTCATTGAATGCCCTTGTGTGATTTTCATCCCATATGAATTCACTATCTTTTTTTAACAAATTTCTCAATGGTGAATTTAAAATAGACAAATTTGGCAAGAAACGACCTACATAATTTATCATGCCTAAAAACCTTTGTGTTTCTGTTTTGTCTTTTGGAATGGTCATGTTTTTTATTGCACTGATTTTTTTTTCATCTGGTGAAATTCCATTTCTTGTCAACTTGTGGCCCATATATTTGATTTCTGATAATCCAAATTTACATTTATTCCGATTGAAAGTTATATTATTAGTTTTTGCCTTTTGTAGTACTGACAATAATCTCTCATCATGAATTTCCTTAGTTTCTCCCCATACAATTATATCGTCAATGTACAAATCCACCCCTTCTGATTCGAAAATATTTTTAAACCGTTTGTGGAAAACCTCAGGAGCAGATGAAATGCCATAGGGGAGTCTGAGAAAACAGAATCTCCCGAATGGAGTTGAAAATGTACATAACTTCGAACTTTCCTCGTCCAAAGCTATCTGCCAAAATCCACTATTTGCATCAAGAGTGCTAAAATATCTTGCACCTGCAAGTTTTGCAGTGATTTCATCTAAGGTTGGCAATACGAAATATTCCCTTTTTATGGCGGTATTCAAGTGAGTCGGGTCCAAACACAATCTTAAAGAATTATCAGCTTTTTTTACAATAACTAAGGAGTTCACCCAATTAGTAGGCTCATCAATTTTTTTTATAATTTTTTTTTCTTCTAATTCTTTCAATGTACTTTTCAATTGTGGTAGCAATGGTAAAGGTACTTTTCTAGTTGGATTTACAACTGGTCTATGATTTTCTTTCAACAATATGTGATACTTCTGTGATAAACAACCAATTCCTTCAAACAACCTTACATATGGCTCTAAAAGTTTATTATATTCCCCAAAATCTAAATTTTCTCTTGATGATGGTCTGTCTATCGAATCTACTTTCTTGATCAAATTCAGGCTTTTGCATGAATCAAGTCCAAGAAGAGATTTTGATTTTGATTTTACAACATAAAATTCTAAACAATAGTTACTATTTTTGTAGGAACAATTTAGGTAACATTTTCCGAGGACTGGCACCACATTATTTGTATATGACGTGAGTTTCATATCAGTTTTGTTCAAGTTCTCTTCAGATATCTTCAACATTTGAAAATCGTCAACTGACAAACAGTTGGCCATCGCTCCTGTGTCGAGTTTGAAATCAATGTGAAACTCACCATTTATCAACAGATTTACATACCAACTCTGTTTATCTAGCACATTGATCTGGATTTCATCTATTACCAATAAATTCGAAAGATTTTCTACATTTTCATTATCTCCTTGTTCCACTTCACTGTATGACACAGTATACACTTTTTTATTATTACACACACTTGAAAAATGATTTGCAATACCACAGTGCAGACATCTTTTACCCATTGCTGGACAGTTATTCCTAGGATGAGATTTTCCACAGCGATAGCACGATGAACTCCTACTTCTTTGTTGAAATGTATTTTGTTGATATACATTATGTTGATTTTGAGAGTCAGGCTGGAAAGACACAGGCCCATAACGACCTCTGCCGAAATTTGTGTCCCGGAAATCACTGTATTTTGATGGTACATTACTTCTGGGACTCTGGAATCCTTTGTGAACAGCATTGACAGGTAGTGTAGTAGCAGTCAAGCTCATTTGTGATGATTGTTCACGTGACATCTCTACCGAAATACATTTCTTCACTGCTTCATCTAATGTGAGGTCATCATCTTGCAACAATTTCTCACGTAAAGACACGTCTTGAAGCCCGCATGTAAATAAGTCCTTCACTAGGCTTTCTTTCAAATTGCCAAACTCACAGTTTGTTGATTTATTTTTCAAATCTATCACGAACTGTTCGATACTTTCTCCAGGCATTTGTTTACGTGTGAAGA